CTATCTGGGCTATGTGAGACTATCTCAAAGAGAAAAAAAAAAGATTTAAAAAGAAACAAAAGTATATTGGTCGTCCCTGTTGTTTCTGTGATACACATTATCTTGAACAGATGAGAACCCCAAACAGCATGTCCCCTTGGATGAGTACAGTGCCAACCTGAGGGACATGGTGCAGTACCTGAGGTCTGTGGACGTCCCCAAGGAGCGAGTCATTCTCATCACGCCACCCCCGCTCTGCGAAGCGGCCTGGGAGAAGGAATGCATCCTGAAGGGTGAGGCGCACAGCTCGGCCTGCCAAAGCTGAGTGTGGGTGCTGAGGGCTTCCACTCGAGGGAAGGGCCTGTCCACTGTCAGTTAAGTGAAAGTCAAGTCTTGCTCTAGAGCAGTGGTTCTCAACCTTCCTAGTGCTGTGACCCTCTCATACAGTCATGATGTGGTGACCACAACCAGGAAATTATTTCATTGCTACTTCATAGCTGTAATTTTGCTACTGTTATGAATCTCGGTATAAACATTTTTGGAGACAGAAGTTTGCCAAAGGGGTTGCGACCCACTGGTTGAGAACTGCTAGATTATTTTTGACATAAATTGGGGTGGGGGGGCGGTTCTGGTTGTTTTTAAGTCAGGAGGACATTGATGACCCAGAACCTACTGTCTGTAGTTGCCAGACATGAAGATGCTCAAGCAGCCCACTGCCAGCTGCAGCAGCTGGGCAGCCAGGCACTCACGGTGAGTCCTCATCTGCAGCATTCTCCCCTGGCACGGGCAGCCTGCAGCCGAGCGAGCACTCTGCAGATGGCTGCTCCTCCAGCTGCCAGGAGCTGCTCCCGTCTTGCCACCTCTGGCAGTTGGAAGTGTGATGGTAAATCCCTCCACTTTCCTTCCATGTACACGGTCTGTCCGTTCAGCGAAGAAGCGCTGGTGCTGAGACACTTGACTGGAAAGGTGTCCAAGCTGCTTGAAACCCGAGGACAGGTTTGACTGGGACACATTAATGGCTTTTGAGCACAAGTCTGCTGTCAAAACTGGGGAAGTTTTTCTCTCTCACACAGCTGGTCAGCCTGGCTCCTACTATACCCCAGATCCCTTCCCTAGCCTCTCGGGGAGCTGTGAGATTCTCTCCAAGCCGGGCTTCCCCCACCCACTGGGTAATCTGGGAGGCAGGCAGCACGCACGTGGTTAAACCTGTCCATTTTGTACTGGAATCTGCATTAATGGGATAGGCATGGCTGTCACATGAACTAGAAAAGCCTCAGAATGGTTGAGCATGTTCACAGGTACAGCCGTGCAGTGGCAGGCTCAATGACTCGTCTCCTGCAGCCTTTGCCCATGTTACTGCAGTAGCTGTTGGTTGCATATTGACACTGGGATCTCAGTGGCAGTGTGTCTCTCATGATCTCGATGTTTTCTTCTAGCCATGCCCTTCCTTGGTCTTTATCCAACCCACTGGGATCTGCACTCTAGCTGCCTAGCCTCTGTATCCCGACCCAGGGGCCTTAGGAGCCTCTGGCTGCCATAGCTAGCTGTTCCTCCCCACTGTGCACTTCCTGCACTGTGTTGTAGAGCAGTGCCATTGTTGCAGCCCCCATGCTGGCATCAGTGGCACTTAGAAACTGTCTAGTCCGTGTCGCCTTCAAAAGCACCGGCACTGAGTTTGCCAGTGACCCTCTGGAGTTTTCCCCAACAGGTTGCAAATTAAACCGCCTGAACTCAGCTGTCGGTGAATATGCTAAGGCGTGCTTACAAGTAGCCAGAGACTGTGGGACTGATGTCCTTGACCTGTGGACCTTGATGCAGAAGGATAACCAGGTACCATGGTTTTCTCAATCCCCTCAGGGTTGTTGGGATCACACAGGTCAATAAGACGTGTGCGGCTTTCCTAGAAGAGCTCTTTAGATGGGCATGGTGCACGTCTGTAATCCCAGAGCCTGTGAGGTAAGGGCAGCCCTAGCCACACAGCATGTTGGCACCCAGTCTATCATATAAAACTGTGTCTCAAGAGACAGGCCAGCCATGCTTTTCACCAGGAAAACTGGGCAGAGGAAAGGCATGGAGGAGCTGAAGCAGCTAATACAGCCAGACCCTTAGCTAAGGGTTACCTTGAACACCACAACTGCCTTAAGTCAGATATATAACAGCAGGACAGAGTTCATAGAAAACAGTGACGTATATTCACTAACAAATCCACTGCCAGAGTGTTATTCTAGTTGAATTATTTTGTCTTAAAGCCTGAAAACACACACATATGTATATATATATATTATATATATACACACACAGATATATATGAACATACACACATATACATGGAAAAAGCTAGTTGTCATATGAAGGGCAGCCCCTCAGGAGGGGAGCTGGACAGTTGTGTAGTCACACATGCACTGACAGAGAATGCAGCCATCCACTGTTTTTTGCGGCATTATCCACACTAGGCCCAAAGCTAGAAGCAAGTCACTTATCTTTCTGTAGGTGACCGGGTAACCCCGAGTCCATGGAGTCTTGAGAAGTGACAACATCTAATGTGGGGTCCGAAACACAGAGAACACTGAGAGGGCTCTCGAGTCAAGTACGTGGTTCCAGCTGTGTGACATCTCCAGCTGTGTGACAAGGCTGTAGTGTCGGGGAGGGCAGTGTTGCACATCATCCATGGGCTGCAGCACATGAGAAGCATAGTTGGATATCTCTCTTTTCATCCCTACCTGGATGGCCTGGAATTTGTTCTGAACGCCCCACCTTGCCCCTGCAGGTGGAGTACTGCGGTTACAGGTATGCACCGCCACACCATTTATGGGTGTTGGGGACTTGGTGTGCTAAGCAAACCCTGCTGATGGGCCCTGTCCCTGGGCCTACTTTTTACCCCATAGTTAAATGCATGTTCTGTGGGCGCAAGTGAAAGGTTATTTACTTGTGATGCTAAGACCTAGGGAGGGTATTTGAGGGAGGTGGTATTTGAAGTACTGGGGAAAGGAGGACCCATTCTGCCCCAGGTCACAGCTGCTTGGTTTTGCCATGTACACAAAAGAACAACTCAATCCACAATCACTAAACCAGATGCTAACTCTCCCCTTCCCTCATTAACACATCCCCTCCTCCATGGACTAGGAAGGGTCTGATATTTTGACAGTTCATCTGTAAAGGAAAACATGGTACTGCTTCCTTACTGGAAGAATGTAACAGGAGCAAAACCTGGATTAGCACAGGAAGGTAGAGACCATCGGGGCATCTTCTACCACTGCCTGGTTTTACTCACTAAGTTTTCAGGTTTAACATAGATTTTATGGAATCTAGAATTCCCTAGAAGAAGGGACTCTTCCTTACAGAATCACTAATCAAGAACCATGTTGATGGGAAAGGCCACTAGAACTGTAATTTTCAGCCTGTGAACAGTCTTAGAGGGATTAGGCAAGTGAAGATTCCTCCTAGTCAGAATGGGCCTCCAGGAAATCCTGGATTCAGATAGAGGAGTGATGGAGACTGGCCTCAGCCCAGTCTTCCTATTCAAATTCAAGTTCCTATCTCCCCAAACTGGCCCAGGCACTAAGACGACATCAGAGAACCCTGAGCCCTCCTAACACGTCAGTCATAGGCACTCATTCAGCGTCCCTCTGATAACATGCCATGACATCCCAGTTCAGACACATGAAGAGCTATGATTCTGGGAGCTCAGGTCTGGTAGACACGGGACAGGGCAGCAAGGGTCATGTATCCCAGCACCTGTGTAGAAGCACACTGAGGCCTTTGTGGTCCCAGTCAGGTGCACAAAGCACAGGGGCTGCTGAGCGCTCTCGGCCACCCTGGGGAGGGAGTTCATGACAGTAACATTACTCCTCTCCCTACAGGACTTCTCACCCTACTTATCAGATGGCCTACATTTATCACCAATGGGAAATGAGTTTCTGTTCTTACACCTCTGGCCGCTGCTGGACAAGAAGGTCTCCTCTCTGCCATGGCTGCTTCCTTACTGGAAGGATGTGGAGGAAGCAAAGCCTGAGCTGAGTCTGCTGGGGGATGGAGACCATTAGCCTGGGAAACGTTGCCAAAAACGAGTGGCTCATCGCACTCACGTACACCACCTCAAGATGGTGATCACAAACAACCCATGGACATGTGCATAACTTTGTTAATCATTCACGAACATCAAGAGATTGATTAAATGTTTTTTTCCAAGCTTAACTTCTGTTCATGATTACTGATCAAAAACCTACTAACTTATTTTTCAGGGAAATGTTATATATATTATACTTAATCCATTGTTTTGATATTCAGTATTTATTGACTGAAGCAGGGATCATCAATGCCATAGCTACAGAATATACCCTGAGCATCTTAACTCTGTACATGGCAAAATAATAATAATACAATTAAGACAATTTTGGTTTAAAAAGTCATAATTTTATAAAACTGTTTTCTTATATTCTGCACTGTTTCATTCATACATACACCCACACACCCCACTCACCTTATAGCAAATCCTCAAAGTGTAACTAAAATATAAGACTATCGTGACCAGTAAAAAGAGCAAATACCACAAGGTATATGTTCAAGTATTAGTGTAACAGACATCCTCAGGAGAGACAAGGCGCAGGCTTGGTTAACTGTCCTCACAGTTTACAAGTTCTCTTGGTTAAAATGTGTTGGCTGGTGAGCACATTGCAATTCTTAGAAGAAAAAAGCTTTTATAGCTAGAACTTATAGAAGTCAGAATTCAGGCTAATGGTATTTATTCCTCACACAGTAAGTACAGGGCATCCAGGGTCCTGAAGCACCAAAGCCAGAGGTCACATGAGTGTCTACTTGCTGAGACTGAAGATCAGTTCTTCCAGGGTGGGACCCCAGATGGCGGCACCACCCCCACCCCTACCCTCACTCCTACCCCCACTCCCCCTTCCTAACCAGCTCAGCAAACCCCAGCCTGTCTAGAAGTGGTTCCGGTGAGAGTGCCTGCTCACCACTCAGCTCACACTGTGAAGCACTACAGGGTTTGTGAATGTTGTCACTTCTTACGACACCTGGGTTTTTTTTTTTTAAAATCTTATGCGTGTGAGTGTTTTGCCTGCATGTTTGACTGCACCAAATGCATACCTTGTGTCCTAGAGTTCAGAAGATCATCTCCCCTGGGATTGGAGTTACAGAGAGTTAAGAGCCACCAGGTGGGTGGGTGCTGGGAATGAGACCAAGTGCTCTTAACTGTGGGGCCAATTTTTTTTTTTTTAAGGCAAACACGGTTAGAGATACGTGAAGACACTTTTGTAAAACAGAGAGACTGCCCAGTGAACCTGAGGCTGAACAGTTAATAGGCCATCGTGAAGTTCATGTGGCTGTTTCTATAGACTATTCCAGAAGCTATTCATCTTCATTTTGGAAAGGGCTGTTCTTAATGCAGATGGTCTTAAGTGTGGACAGGACTCTCCACCTACAAGAGTTGAGTGCTGGGACAGGCCGGCCGCATTTGGAGATAACGTACAAGCAGGTTTCTCTTTTACTTGAAGGCCAACCCCCCGCCCCCAAAGTACGTCTGTGTTGCAGTCATCCTCACCGCTAAGTGTGTCACTGTAGTCAGAGACCCTTACAGTACACAGAAGAACAGACTGAAGACTTCACCAGCACTGTCACCGGGTACTTGATCCAGCCTTATTTTCTGCTTTTGCACCACAGGTCAAAGGAGATTTTAGATTATAAAAGAAAAACCCAAAACCTGAAAGTCTTAGTAAGCCAGATTTACCTCACCTCTTAAAGGGCCTACGTACACAGGCTGTCCTGTGAAGGTCAGCTCGCACGCCCCACATCTGCTTAGTTGCTTCCCTGGTTCTCATCATTACAGTCTGTGTTTGATTCAGGTCAGCTCTATGGTACATCTGAAGGTACATGTCCTCCCAGAGCAGGCCACGGCTCCCCACTAGCACTCTGTCTCTTTGCTGTCAACTCGGCTCTGACGCTGCAGCTTGAAGGAGGCGGCCTTTTCACTCCTGGTGACTGGGTGGTCTGTGAGATCCTCAAAGGACTTGGCAGCTGCACTGCTGTTGGGGAAGGGGTCCTTCTCAAAGCCATCATCATCCACATGGGAGTCTGTGCTCGGGTCTTCCTGGATGGTGTCCATCCTCTGGTGGTCCAGTTTTGGAGCCGCAGACACTGGCGGCATCATGGCAGCTGGCTGCAGGGCCTGCAGACGACCTGGAGTCTGGGGTGCAGGAAAGGGCTTGATAATGCGAACAGATGCGGAATCCATGCTGCTCAACATCTCAATGTTCTGGAAAGGATGGGGAGAAATGAATCAAAGGTCATTATGCTATATAATCGCACCCAGAGTAACCCTGGGCTACGCTCATGCTAAACCTAGTGCTAGGCAAGGTGCTAGCTACCACCCGAGCAGGAGCTCTGGAGTGAGATGCTCGGACAACTGGTGCCTATCAGACCCAGGACAAGAATTCAGTGCTGAGAGGTTAAGTCACCACCTGTGGTTCTGGGGTACCAGGTTCCTATCTGCTAGCTTTCCTCCCATGCAACTAAGTCAAGTGTGCCACAGTCATTTTCTTGGGATCAGCCACATCCAATCAGATGCTTATGCCTTCCACTGGCCCAGGAGGGAGGAGCTCTGGCTGAGGCCTTGTTAGTGTGGCTGAAGTACAACTAGAGACGGGTCTGCTTTGATACGTGTACTTACACTGTGATGGAACAGAGACAGGGATTCATACTGCTTGTCCAGTTTCTTATCCTAGAAAGCACAGGGAGTAAAAATGTCATTCTTCCTAAAATTAAAAGGAACCCAACCCTCAAATGGTGAGTGCTTCCTGCTCGCTGCTCCTAAGGCTGAGTGAACTTAAGACCTCAACTGTAGAGTGATGCAGGATGTATCTCAGCACTGGAGCAGTCGCCTTGACACACTTGGGCCTTGGGTCTGTCTGCCACCCCTCCACACACTGCCAAGAAGAAACCCAAGGGACAGCAGGTTCACTAGCTGACAACACATTTATGCACACACACACACACACACACACACACACACACACACACACAAGAAGTGCTGTTCTATACCAGCAGTGACATGGATATAAAAGAAGAGGCACTTTAAGGCCTATTTTTCAAAGCTAGCTTAGACTGGGCAGGAGAGTAAGAGGGATTATGTACAGCAGGTTCAGCCAATGTCCACAACACAAGGTGACTAATCACAGCATCCCTGGGTCCTGACTCCACCAACCCAACCCATAGCCTCTTAGCTGATTTCCCAGATACCACACTTCTTGAGGAACTGAGTCTTGATCCTCATGTATTTCTGCAGGAGGCTGCATGCAACTTTGGGGAGTCAATCCTCTCCTTCTACCACTTAGGTCTTAAGGAAAGAACCCAGGTAGTCGAGTGTGGCAGTGGGTGTCTACTGGCTGCTGTGTAGGACAGAGCCTCATGTACCGAGACTGTTCACTATGTTCCTGGGTGTAACTTTGAGCTCCTGGTCCTCCTGCCTCTATTCCCTGAGTGCATGCCCTATTATATAGTTTATGCAGTGCTGGGAGGAACACAGTCCTGTGCAAGCTAGGGATACCCTCTACTAGCTGAGCTGTGCACCCAGTGGCCATTCTGTCCATAGACCACCAGTAGGTTTCTAGGGAAGCTGTCTTGAACACCCATAATAGCACTGACAACTTTTTTGGTCAATCTTTCCATTTAGAGTTGCTCAGCACTTTTGAAAAACGTTTGATCACTTCAGCTCTGGTGACTTACCACACAGTGGACAAGAATGCTGAAAGGAATCCAAAATATCAAGGAGAAAACCAGGACAGACCCAACGATGTTATCTGCCAGAAACTTCCCTGTGAATTATCCAAACAGGAAATGTCTCAATCGCACTTCACAAGACGACTACAGAACCCTCTTGAGTATCACGGCCAGGCTGTGCTTGGGGGTGAGGAGACTAGAGAGCAGTGCTCACTTGCTGTGTGGACTGGACCAGCAGACCAAGCACAGCATGCTTAGACATTGCTCTGATTGACTGAAAATTGTTATATAGCTAAACTCTATGGAGTTTTGCCTTCTATAAATTTGAGATCTACTGGTAAATAACTCTTAGATTAAGCAGAGTCAAGGGACTGACTGTGCTTGAGGTGGACCACTCTACTCTGAAAACTCATGCATGCAAGACATACGGGGAACAGACCTGTAATCAGTTTGTCTTCAACAACAAAGCTGTTTAAAATTTTTAACAGTTTTTTAAAATTGTTTTACTATTTAATTCCAAATGTTGCCTCCCTTCCCAGTTCCTCTTTTAACTTTCATTGTTCTGTGTTCTGCATATACATGCCTGTGTACTATGTGAAGGCAGTCCCTGAGAGGCCAGAAACAAATACTGGATTCCCTAAGGCTAGAGTTACAGGTAATTATGAGCCACCATGTGGGTACTAGGAATTGAACCCAGGTCCTCTGGAAGAATAACGTGTTCTTAACCCTGAGCTATCTCTCCAGTCCCCATTATAGCAAGTGTGGGGAATACTTCAGTCTTCTGTTGCAGGATCACAACTCAAACTCCGAAGCCACACCCGAGGCACCATGGGAATCAGCTCAGACCCTGGTGAATAATCCAGGAAGTAGTTCACTTACCAAACGTGTTGATGCTCAGCTGGTCAATGAAATCCCAAAACCGCTCAATGACATCTTGTACTCGCTTCTCGCATTTGCCCTATAAAGAGAAAAGATACTGCACTATCCCAAACAGCATGCTTAGAACTGATGGAGCCTCAGACAATCAATGGGCATGGAAACAGCTCTGCTGACTGGCCCACCTGGACGCAGGATGGTGATTCCGATATGAAGACACCCAAGAAAGGAGGCATTGTCACAGAACGTCCCTTAAAAAATATCTGGTGCAGTGGTGGGGCTGAGTGTGTTCAGACAGGGTGTCCTGTGTATCTCAAACTGGGTTTGTCTGTTTTGTAACGGCTAAGAATAAAGGAGTGTGTTGTCACACCTAGCACAGAAGTCCATTTTTTAGAATGACCAGGACAAGACTCAAGAAAACTCTTTAACCCTAGGAATACCTTGGTCAGAATGACAGCAATTATATCCACAGTGGACAGGGAGGGCTTTAGAATATGAAGTACTTGATTTGGCAAGCAAAGGCAATCCAAACACAAATGCTATCTTTTTACCTCTGTAACCAGTGCTTGCTTTCATTGAGTATGTACAGACGGGGGCTGTGTAAAATGAAGTAGGCAAGTGTTCTAGGGTTAGTGGAATTCAAAACTCAGCTCAGAGACAGAAAACCTGGGGAGGAAGCTTACTTTTTGTTGCTTACTTTTTGAGACCAGATCTCACTAGTAACCCTGTCTGGCCTGGAACTCTGACAGCAGGCTGGGGCAGGGCTGTGTGGTAGTCTTTACTGTCTTAGCTGGATTCAGACACCGAGTCCTAAGTTCCTGGCTTGGAGAATGGACACAGACTGTGAAATTGGGCAAACTGTGATTCTGAAGGAGGCAGAGAGAGTAGGAAAGACCAAGGCTGCTTAAGTAGCTGGAGTCAGACCCTGTGCTTCTCCACAGATGCATAATTTCACAACAGGAGATACTTACATTCATGTCACAAAACCCTACTGTACAGGGCTTCCCTTTCCTCAAAAATAAGTTCTTCTGCTCTGCATCAACATAAGGCACACACGGGCCAGAAAGGTTCCTGCAGCACACCTTGCACGAGTTGTCAGTGTCTGAAAGAGAAGCATGCCAGCTGACATGGGCGGCCTCACCACAGGCTTCCTTGACATCTAGTCTTTGACCTCCCTCCCGGATGTGAAAAGCTGACCCTGCCCAGGGCTGAGGTTGCAGGCAGAGTGCCTGCATGGTGAATGTGACATCTTGGGTTCCAGGTCTAGCACCACAAAAAGAAAATGGCCCAATGTTCCCAAGTTAATATTCCTCAGCTCTTCACATTAAACAATTACTAGCTGGGCGGGCATGGTGGCACGCACTTTTAATCCCAGCACTTGGGGGTCAGAGGCAGGCAGATCTCTATGAATACAAGGACAGTCTGGGCTACATAGTGAGTTCTAGGACAACCAGGACACAAAGTGAGATTCTGTCTCAGAAACAGAAAAAAGCATTATCAACAGAAAACTCAGATAGGTTAAGCTGAAGTATACTCTCTGTCTAACCTGCCTGATGCTCTTCAAATGCGCCCTCTGGCCCGACATGCCTATCACCCTGCCAGCTTCCATCCCTGCTTCTCACTGTAAGGTCTACCCTACCCTGGGCCATCCCTGCTTCTCAGTGTAAGGTCTACCCTACCCTGGGCCATCCCTGGCTTCTCAGTGTAAGGTCTACCCTACCCAGGGCCATCCCTGGCTTCTCAGTGTAAGGTCTACCCTACCCTGAGCCATCCCTGGCTTCTCAGTGTAAGGTCTACCCTACCCTG